TTTTTTTTTTTTTTTTTTTTTTTTTTTTTTTTTTTTTCTTTCTTTCTCTTTCTTTCTCGTTTTTTCTTTCCTACTGTAACGACGTACCTACGTCGCCCCCCATCTCCCTCCTGGCCTTTGCTAGTCATACCTTTTGCCATTTACATATTTCTCTCCTACGCATGTACTCGTCTGGTTCGAACAAGGGTTGTTGTGGGTGAAGAGTATTACACACACAGACACATCGACACATACACACATTCTGGCGTGCACCGTTCAAGTTGGCTACTGCGTGCCATACACAGACCACACATGTCCGTTGTGACTTCAAATGACACGCAATAGCCAACCTGAAGTCGGACAGGCTAACACATGCACAAGCAAACACGTATAACAAATACACACACACACACAGGCATATACAGAAAGACACACACACACACACACATACACACACACAGATTCTGGCATGCACCCTTAAAGTTGGCTACTGCGTACCAGAAACTGACGAATGATTACCGTTGTGACTTCGAATGGCACGCAGTAGCCAACTTGGGAACAGACACGCAGACACACGCAAAGACTATTCATACACACACATCCATAAACATATACACAAAGACACACAGGCATCCACATAGGTTCATACATAGACGCTACACACACACACACACACACACACACATGTCGATGACGTCATTGTGCGTTTCCGCTGGCAGAGAGAAGAGGACGAAAGACAAACCGTACGCATCATGTCGACGTCAGTAGCACAGGTGGAGGCTGCTCTTGCAGAGGTAATGAAGTATGCAAAGGAGGGCGTCCACTACAACGGTGACAGCGAGTCGTCTTTGCTTCAGGACAGGGTGCCGAGGTACTTCATAGTCGCTGTGGATATGAGATCCACAATCATGGCAAACGGCGAGGACTGTGGCAAAGCACGAACACTCTTGCAACGCTTCAGAGAGTCATCACATGTACGTGTGGACAGCGATGTGAAAGACAATGCATACAGTCCAAAAGGAGTGGTCCAGTGGATGTGCAGCGAAGGGATGTGCGAAGAAGGAGACGTGGACATGACAATGCAGCAGAAAGGGGGGACATATACACCTGCGAACTTGGGCAAGTTGCTGAGCACTGTGACACGGAATGGAGGAATGCTGGTTGATGGGTCGAAGGACGAGTTGAAGAGTGGTGCTGCAGAAATCTTGGTGTTGTCCAGAATGAAGGACATTACACAAACATCGCCAGAAGACTTTCAAGATGTTCCTGTCATTGTTGCAGATGGTGTGGAATATATTCTGCTGGATCAACTTCTGGACTTCATGAAAAAAAGTGTCGACGACAGGAACGTCATCCATGAGGCGTTGCACGAAGTCACAAAGTTTGCACTACAGGGTCAAGATCTGATAGAATTTGTGTCAGCAAGAACAGAAGACAACATCATATCTGGCAGACCGTTGTGGAGGGAGTTATTATCAGCTGCTTTGGAGCGGCTCGGTCTTGCAAGTTGCGATGTTGAGAGACAAAGAGAAAGAGAAAAAGGGTGGAAGGCGATGGCCACGGAAACAAATATAGCAATCATTCCAGACAACGGACAAACATCAGCAGCACAAAAATCAATAACCAGAATGACAAACGATGTGCCTCCCATGCAGACAACAACGAGAGAGGAGCTAGTGTGTTCCGATATCTTCAATGCTTTCACAATGGAGACATTACAGTGTGATCGTGGATTTGAAAAGGCCGATTTGCCAAGTTGTTGTGCAGATTACACAGACGGTGCAGAAGAAGAAGATGAAGAAGAGGATGAGGGGGCATCATCTTCTGACGTGGAAGTGAGCGGCAGCGATGTCAGCAGTGACGAGGAAGACGAGGAACATGTTGTATACTATGATTTGAAGGCGGCGGGTGAACAAGTGACAAAAGGGTGGGCAAATGCAATTCTGAGGTTGGCATGTGCTTTTTCCGATCTGCACAAAGTCCTGCGTGTTGTGATGAAGGAGGAAACACCAGATGGTGCACTACAGTATGCCGCAGTGACCAACGTAATGAAATCATGCAACAAGGAAAAAAAGTGGTCATGTGTTGGCAAGGAATGGTTTGTTCTGGTCAATAGAGAGGTTGTGTTAGGAACGTCACTGATATGGGGAGTCAACCTGAGTTGCCTCATACACGGCGCAATGGCGACAGTTTGGGGAGAGACATTGCACCCCGGCTTGTCAACAGGAGACGCAATAGTTAGTGCTCGGTTACGGCAGCGACCGGAGACTCACCCACACACCACGACAGAACATGTTAGACATCAGGGATAATGACAGACATGCATAGTGTAGAGCAATAAAGTGGTACTACAAACAACCAGTGCACATACGTTTTGATACGCATGGAAAACTCAACCTGTACATTCCTCAACCTGTACATCCCTCTATGTCTGCCTCAATTTCAACGACGGTCAGGTTCACTACTGCGTGCCATATCAATGTCCACCGCTGCTGTTTGTTGTCGTTTTGGCCCGCTTTAGTGAACCTCTCTCTCTCTCTCTCTTTCTCTCATATGTCGAGTTGTAGCTATATTAGAACTTGTACATCCATCTGCGGGTTACATTTAATGCTGCCTGTTGTTTGCCTCTCCAAGTACATGCGGTTCACTACAGCGTGCAGACACAGGATTGAACAATATTTCAATCATTTGATGATTGTTACGATGTATGTCATAATTTGTTGCCTTTTGGAGTACGTGAGACACACCAGACCCCTTGTGATGACCAATGTGTGTATGTTGTATTTTTTTTTTGCATTATCTGTAATTTAAATTCAAATGTACTAGGTTGTGAAATGTTTTGGAAGTGGTTGCGGAGGTCGGTTGAGGTGCCGAGGTGCAATCATTTTCACGCGGACATGGAAAACACATGCCACATTCACAAACGTCGTGGATGGATAATTGAGAACTTGGGCAGCCGCACAAACGTGGTGATGAATGTTGTGTCATATATCGTGTACCATGCGTAAGTCGTTGCCTCTTCCTCCACAACCATAGAATATGTCATGGCATATAATTATCGTGTCGCACGGTTGGCTACTAATCTTTGTCAATTGGGATCAACGACACAGACCATTCGTACCGAAAACGACAATTAGTACTCCCTCTCTATCTCTTTCTCACAGAGAAGAGGATGTGCGACACTTGCACAATATAACAAAATATGCTCTGTAACTTGTAATTTAAAGGACTTGAACCAATGTACAAAATGTTAATCAAAACACTGTCCGCACTGCTCTATTTGTTTTTGGAATGCACTGCGTGCACAGAAAATGGACAGCGGTCCATGGGTGTGCAACTGTGGCAGGTCTTTCATGTCATTATGAGCTCACATCGTGCGAGGGCATGCTCAGCCGTGGCGGACGAAAGAACACATGGGCAGGAGATGGGTGTGGTCGATGACGCCGGACCATCAAGTATAGGTGCAGTGAATCTCGTGAGCGATGAGAGCGAGGACAACGGGGCCCCCGAGAATGTAGATGGGGAGGGCGGGACATTCAAAGAGCAGCAACCGCAGCCTGTCGAGTCTTTCGACAACTCTCGCAAGCTGGCGACACTGATTTCTCCGCCAGGGGCCAGGGGCGGTGTCGGTATGTCGCAGAGCGACATAGATGCTCTCTTGTCACTTCTCACAGACCCGAGATTCAACACGAGAGACATCGCGTATCGTAATAGTCGAGAGTGTTTGACATGGGCAGGGAGTCTAGCAGAGGCTGCTGGATGGAAAGAGTTGGATCTACATTGTGACGATTGGCCACAGGATGCGCACGCCATCTTGTGGCACCGCGACTGGCGAACGACATTTCTGTCGATTTTTCATATCGCATTACAGAAATGCGAGACGGTGTCTTCTCTAGACGTGTCTTCGCCGTCAGAGCACCTTAGTATATCCGGCCCACGCAGCGGGGCGCTAAGTTATCACATCTAGTCGATTATTCGAGCAAGCAAAGGTGTGGACGGGAATGGTAATCCACGTTATGTTATACCTCTTTCATTGTATTTCGATAAGACACATACAGACGGTCGTCAAAAACAGACGGCGTACCCCCTGATGATGTCACTAACCGACCACGCATCCGAAGCCACACTGCTGGCCTATCTTCATGTGCTTCATCATCGCCCACGTGACAAAGATGGGGTATGCAGTCCACCGCATTCAGAAAGCGAAAGGCCATCATTTTGCACAAGGCCCTTTCAGTGGTGTTGCAGTCTGCGAAGGAGACATCTCATGACCGAATAATGATACCGACAACGCGATTCGGGGACATAATTGTCCACCCTTTCCTTCTCAACTATATCCAGGACTACCCAGAACGATGTGCGATTGCAACTATGAAGTTTGGTGTATGTCCGACATGCACCGTGTCCAAAAATGATTTTGATGTCATAGCCGATTTCATAGACTGCAGGAGATCACAGACGCTGGAAACACACCTCACAGCAGATGTGTTCACCGCCGACGACATCGACGTTCGCCGTGCAGCGGAAGCACGAATGTCGGAGTTGAACATGCATAGGCATGTTCAACAGAACGGTCTTTGGGGGTTCTACAGGGGCCCCAATGATGACGATCCTCAGCTAGACTACCACCTGGCATTGCAACCAGACCGTATGCACACAATCAAGCACGACATATTCTTGCACATGATTGACGCATTCAGGACCGCAGCCTTTGAGAAGTTGCCGCACTTACCGCAAACAGAGATCTTGAAGGAACTAGATGCAAGGTTGCAAAGCGTTAGTGAGAGATGCACACGAACATACCCCCAACTTGTGCTGCCGGTGGCCACTGGCAGCGACTTTTTTTCGAGGAAGGGACGGTTCGAGGCGAAGCAAAACCAGTCTGTGATGACAGTGTGCATGTTCTTTATTTATAATATTATCCCGCGCTCAACAGGCAAGGGCATTACCGTTTGTTTTGTGAAACTGATGGAAATGTACATACGAGTGTTTCGGTGTACAACACACACTCATGCTTCGCTCGATGAATGCGACGTTTTGATCACAGACTTCATAACGACCATCAAAGCAAAATTGAGAAAATATCAACCATCAACATGGAAACTCCCCAAGTCGCACGATCTCATGCATCTGACAACCTGTATTGAGCGATCTGGTGTCCCCGACATCTTCGCGACAGATGTTTGGGAGCATCACCACAGGAAATTCTGCAAACAGCCATACCTGTCATCAAACAAGTGGAAAGCTTCAACACAAATGGTAAACCATGTAAGCCGGTCATTGGCGTTGCGCGAAGTAATCGGGATCGTGAGAAAACGGAGGAAGAGAACGGTTGAGAACTGGTCGTCCGTGACAGACTGTATGGCCACCGGAATGAACACCCTCGCACTACGCAATATGACAATGGTGCAAATGCGGTGGTTCGACATCGATGATGAGTACATATGCGAGGGAGAAAACATTGACAACCATGTGTGTAAGATACTCAAAGAGCTTCCTTGCAGACGCGATTTTCGAGCTGCGCTTACGACATACATGGTGGAGAATGGTTGTCAACCTCTTTCTGACGACCCGCTTATGCACACACGGACACACCTGACCATCGCCTGCGTACAGGACGGAACAAACAGGGGCACACTTGTTCAAACTGCAAGAGCGTTGCCACAATTCTATGAGAGAGAAGTGCATAGTGATGTCGCAATTAGAGCAGACAACGAATGCACATGGTTTGCATCAGTAGCCATGTTTTTTGTCATGGACGCACCCACGAACAACAGTAATATGGAACACAACTGCGAATTTGTGCAATGGTACAAGGAGGTCGACAGTGAACGACAACACATGACAGGTTGCAAGAAATTGAAATGGGAGAAGTTGAGTGGACATCAACACAGTAGCGTCGTTTTGACCGACACTATTGTAGACATAGTTCACATTGTCTCGCGCTTCTTTAAACCACAATGGGGATCGAAGCAACAGGCAAAACAGCGTGAGGACTGTTTTTATATGAACAAGGACATATTGTAGAAGAAACAAATGCAAAGTTTCTATGTTTGCTAATAGATCCAACTACTAGAAAACAGACAGTTTAAACGAACACACTGGTTGTTTTTTTCAAGAAAGAGAGAAGTCCATTTACACTCTATTTTATTTAATTGACAGAGAACTTTTTAACTTGTGCACAGAAATCTTTATATATTAGAGATCTACGAAAACAACAATTGAGAAAACAACGTGATATAGCTTAAATCTAATAGCCACAATTTATTTGTTTTTTGAAATAGAAAGTAAAGATGAACTGAAGTCTTACAATTATTATGTCTATTTTTTACTAATATATATATATATATATATATATATATATATATATATATATATAGAGAGAGAGAGAGAGAGAGAGATAGAAAGAGTTTCTATCTGTCGTCGCCACGGGACAGTCATGCTGTTTCTTTCGAAGTATAGGGGAACAAGAGAGGACATTCGTCTCTTTCTTTCCGTTATTTGTTGAGAAATATCATGTCAAATGTGGCCAAGCTTACGAAGCGGTGAAAACCACATGCGAGACAAAAGTGTCCCCAAAAGTTCACTATTGCGTGACATTTACGTGGTGAACAGTGACATTGTTTTAGTTTTGGCACCCAACCTCTCTGACACGTGTGAACAGGAACAAAAACTTACAACGTCGCGCAGCGTTCGGGAAGGAGCGACACAGAGCACTGAATAACATGGTGCAGGTAAGAGAAGCCGAGCAAGGATGACAGAGTCACAAAAAAGTAACACGTGTGGTGGCGGCACGAAGTGCTCATATGTGGGTACGAAACCGGTCATCGGTCCAATGATGGAAAATAAAGACGAACAACATCGCAGAGAGGTGGCAAGCGAACCGTTGTTGCCATTGACCAGTGAGACGTAAGCAAAGAGGTGGCAGAAAATGTTGAGGGACCCTTGGTATGCGAAAATGTACGATATAATGACAGAGGATGAAGCAAAGTCTCCCCAGTTGATAATCGAAGAGTCATCCGGCATTAAGGGAAAAATGAAAGTCGGGGACATGACGAGAACGACAGAAGAGCGGACTGACATTAATGATGAGGACGAATTGACCATTGGCTTGACCGTTGAGGTCGTCAAAAGACGATGCGAGGAAAGTTCAATACTGCGGGCATTTGTTACATAAAGACCAGTGGCTTGACCAGTTGATTGACCCGCAGTAGCCAACCTTTTCGCAGTGATGGCCGGGGACATCTTCCAAGTTTTTCTTTGCTTGTTTTTTTTTTTTGTTATTGTGACTATGTGAACCCGTGCCGCCTGACAATACAGATACAGTAATTCTGACGCACAAAGAGGTTGGTAACTTAAATGACGTCGCAGTATTAACAATAAGATCTTGGTTATGCCTCTCTCTCTCTCTCTCTCTCTCTCTCTCTCTCTCTCTCTGTCTCTCTCTCACAATAAGGCCATTACACTTCAGGGGTGTATGGATTGACGCACGACATTGTTGACGCAGTTGTTGTTTGTATTCCACTTTGATGTATGTGGGGCAAAAAAGGGTTATGGCTCCAAAGCCAAAATACGAGGATCTGTGGAGGTCTTTGAAGGCCGTGGGAAAGAAGGACAAGGGGAGGAAGAAATGTAAGGCTGATAAAAAAAAAGAAAGGAGAGAGCATCGCAAAAACGGATCCCAGAATACAAAAACGGAGCGGACCAGCAGCCGCAGAAACGGATCAAAAGTTTCTCTCCCATCAAGTCAGAGGGGGATTTCAAAGCTGAAAGAACGCAATGAGTCACCCCCTGCGACTCCTGCCCCACGAAACCATGCCAGCGGCGTCGAGAACCGTTCACCCAATGCCCCCGAGAAGAGGTTGTGGGAAGACGGAATGTCAAAGGTGCACCGCAGGACAACGAAGAGAATCACGTACAAAAAGGACAGAATGGTGAAGATGATCGATTGGAGAGCCTCGGACGTATGCACAGTGCAGCCAAAGAGGAAGCAGAAGACGAACATGACCAGTCCATATAAGAAAAGTCTGACAGGGAGGAGAACGAGGCAACAACTGACGAGGGAGGTGACAATGAAACTTCCGACGGACATTCTCGCGACAGTCACGACGCTGATGACGAAGACGGCAGGAGCAATGATGGCACAGCGCAGGACGAGGGCGGTGACGGGGCAGGCGAAGACGACAGAAGCGCGGACGGAAGAGGAAGTTTCCCATCTCCGGGAAGAACGCGACGCACGAGGGAACTCGAAAGTGGCGGCGAGGGAGGCGCAACCGACGCGCCCTCCATTGACAAACAACTAATGAGGCACGACAACGCAATTAAGAAAGGTAAACAAAATGTCCTGCAGTTGCTCCTCTTGCACAACGATTACGTAGTAACAGCGCAAAGTGATGACATTTTCTTAATGTGAGGATGTCGCTGTGATGAACGAACAGTTGAAACGGGCTGTCGAATTTCGCAGGTGCGAAAATGGGTGCGAAATGCTGAGTTCTTAATATTATTCTGTGCGTTGTAATGTGTGTCTTCCAGCAGATGGCACGAACTCGCAAAGAAAAGTGTGCACGAGCAGGGGAGGACAACAACAAGCCAATCAAGAAAGCGGCGTATTCTCGAAGAAAATGAAGGACAGACTGTTCCGGGCGGTCACAAAAGCCTTTGCGTTCTCAACAGCAAAGGACGCATCTCTGTACCCGACAGAGGATGGATTTTTCACGGCGTTGCAAACAACGGCGAAACTGATAGGGGAGAACACGGAGGAAGGACTGCGATCACACGTAGCGGAGTGCGGGATTCGAGCAGTCATAGGGGAGTGCAACAGAATGATGACAACCGTGCGTGGAGAGATAACATGGCAATTGAAACATTGGTTCTGGGCTGAAAAAGGGATCCCGCTTGTACGATCGCAGCAAATAGATCACCAGCTCCCTACTCGCAACAAGATGCGAGTAGAGATGAAGGAGAACAAAACGTGGAGACGGAGCGGCAACGATCCTTGGGGCGCCCCAGCCTTCAAGACGACACCCACCAAGGTTTTCCAGATGAGGAGGGACGGCGTAAACCTTGGCGTGACCCTGCAACAACTGGGTTTTGCAGAGATGGTTGTGTAATGTGAAATCAAGCAGACAACAAAGACCAGCAGAGCGGCGAAGCAGATATGAAAATTGGTCTCTATAAAGCAGGACATCGCATCATCTGTCCGCAACCGCGATACAGTCATGAGTTTTTCGATCTTCAAGCTGGACCGTGCCATATCTGTTGTTGCGAAGGCTGCTGCACTATTTCGAGCTGGCGTGCCCTCTGTCCACAGGGATGGGCCACACAACACAACAATAACGGATGACGATTTCGACCTTGAGTTCATTGCACCGCTGCATGAGAGAAGCAGAGACGGGGAGAGGGATACAGAAAGTCTGTGCGCCAGACCT